AATAAACCCTAACCCCCCCAACCTAAATAACAAATAACCCTCAAAAAACCCTTAAACTTTACCCTAAAATTGCAGATCTATGCAATGCTCCTTTCCAGGCAAGTGTATATGGCAACACCCGAAAAGTTGCCGCCTCAGCAACGTTGAGCCCTCCATTCCAAGTTTCTGCATGAATTGCTTTCAAAGCCTCTGAATGAAACTAAGTCCGTGAAAAGATTGTGTATGCGACGAAAGAAGAAGAAAGTGAAATCGCGAATGCAGTGCGAGACTGTGTTTTTGGAGAAGCGGCGGCAGGCTGTGCAAGCTGCTGTGTCGTCGTCGTCCAGTGGCGACAAGGTGCCCTCGCCGCGATGGATGAAGCGACTGGCTGAAGACATGTGGACTGCCGAGCACGACAAGGAGCTCAGCTTCAACCGCCAGAAGCACCACAAGAAGGCTATCATTGCTTTTAATGCTGGCACCTATGTGCCGGAATGCCCAAGAGAGAAAAGGAAGCTTCAGATTGATGTCGCAGAGCACCAGAAAGCCGAAAAGAAACGACGAAAGGACTATGAGAAGAAGATTGCAGACCGAATCCCAGCTAATTTAAATGATATCCAAATTCCAATATTTCCATATGTCTGGCCTGCCAAGCCAAGGAGATGCCGCCGTCGCATGTGGCTTCCCTGGGCAGTGATCTTACATTTATTTCCAAAGGGTTTAGGGGTTTAGAGTTAAGGGGTTTACGGGTTGAGGGTTAAGGGTGTAGAGTTTAGGGGTTAGGGGCTTGGGATTAAATTAAGGGTGTAGGGTAAACCCAACATAATAAATCATGGGTCCAGTAAGAACCACAGTTCACCTTCCCAACCCGCGAGTGGTATCCCAAGACCCTAAGAACTCAAACCCTTTCAATTCTAAACCCAAACCTAGTAACTATACTAAGTCGGAGAAGTCATCTAGGTATTTGCTTGCTAAGGTGGCACCGACCGAATGGACTTTGCCGACATGAGAGTCTATGTGGCCAAAGATGTGCCCGAACAGCGGACACGAGATGCTGTGAAGCAAGCGGGGGCGCGGGTCACGACAGATCTGCACCGCCCCCAAATCCCGGCCTTCCCCTAGCTTCTTTTCAAGTCAACTACAGTTTAGGTGCAGAGCCGATGTGATGGTCACCAACGATGTCACGAAGCCATCCAAAGCCGTTTGTTTCCGTGCCTTCTTGGCTGGGGGGACCCTTGGATTTCACATTCGGAGCCCCGGACAACCCAAAACACTACTAAGACTACCTGGTGCTTTGTTGCCACCTAAGGGCAATCGCCTCTCCCTTGTACTTTTCCAGTGCTGGCAAGAAGGGTGCCTTCATTGCCTACAAGTGACTTGGCCTGTGCTCGTCAGTTCAAGCAGATATTAAACAGTTAATTCAATATGGTATTATTATGGTACGATGGACAAAATCCTGCATGACCTTGGGTACCTAAATATAGCCTTATAGTATATTTGGGCCCTGCAGAATTTTTTCCATCAGCAGTATTGCTTGGTTCGGGGGTAGGGTCTTAAGGCCTCGGGGTTAACGGTGTCGTTGGATTTCAGAGTTTTTTATGGTACGATGGACAAAATCCTGCATGACCTTGGGTACCTAAACTTATGGTAATACAGTCTTATAGTATACTTGGGCCATGCAGAATTTTTTCCATCAGCAGTATTGCTTGGTTCGGGGTAGGGTCTTAAGGCCTCGGGGTTAACAAAATCGTTGGATTTCAGAGTTTTTTGAAACCCTAAACCCCTAAATCCTAAAGCCTAAAACAAAACCTTAAACCTAAACCTTAAAATTTAACCCTAAACCCTAAAGATTTCAGAGTTTTTGAACCTCGTAGCACTAATGATGGCTTGCGAAAGGTTGAGGCTCCGGGCTCGACGTTTGCAGAATTCTGGGGCTTCCTATGGGATCAGCCTCTGTGTTTCTCTGCCATATTTTGGCTCTAGCCATCTGGATTCCCTTCGGAGATCTAAATTATTGGAACGATACAGAGAAGATTAGCACCGGATTTTGGCTCTAGCCAATTCCCTTCGGAGATCATCCGCTAAAATTGGAACAAGAAGGAGAAGCGCCATGACAAGAGGAAAGATGATGACAAGAAGGACGATGACAGCCGGAAGGACGATGACGAGAGGAAAGATGATGACAGGGAGAAGATCCTGCTGAGTACGCTTCACTCGCTGTACGAAAACGGACACTTCCGGTTCCGGTGAGCTGCTCGAGGGGTGGGGAAAAAGAGACTCCGGACTGCTTAGACATAGAAGCACAATCCTACCCGGCCCGACCGAGTTCAATAATGTTAACTTGGAGCCCTAATAACCCTAAAGCCGAAGTCCTCAAAAGCAACTTGCCCAAGTTTAGCTTAGTTCTCAGAAATCCTACGAGAAGACCTCCCAATCAATCGAATCTCTTGCCACCGGGCTGCAGTCTTTTTCGAGGAACTACCAGGCTGCAGTCTCTTTCGAGGAACTTCTCGGGTCCTTTTGAAATCTTAGGGTGATATCTTTCGGTTTAGGGTTAAGCTAGGCTTAAAGGGTGTTGGAATTTATGGTTATCAAAGAGGCAGGTCTCAGGTCAAACTTCTTGTAATATTGAAACTTGTAGCCACCCGAGGCTAAGCCCTAAAGTAAAAGCCATAGTCCATTTCACGGTCCCCTAAATTTAAATATTATGGAATTAAATTAAACAGCCCGAGGTCTGCGACGAAGGTGCAGAGGATCTGGTGGGCATCTGCCAAATTCTCTACTACATATCCGCTGCTTGTCAAGCTGCTCAGGGCTTGTCAGACTTGGCAGCAAGTCATGGAGCGATCGGCGTTTGTTGCAACTCTGGCTTGTTGTGCTGGTTAAACCCTAAACCCTTAAACTCTAAACCCCTAAACCCTAAACCCCTAAACCCTAAACTCTAAACCCTAAACCCTTAGTCCTAGCTTTGTAATCTGAGGCACGCAGCAGGAAAAAGAGCATGCTGACTCAGCGCACCCGAATGTGCTGCTTTATTATGAAAGAAGAAATGAAGGATGATGTAGCTGTGCTGCAACTAAAGCAAGAAGCCTCACATCAAATTTCGAGCATTGTGTAGGTTGACGGGCTTGCAATGCCGAGGATTTGGCACATGTGCATCTCAAATTCACCGCAACCACGGCATGCAAAGCATTTGTGGAAATTAGGAGGTCAGCCACACTTCGTGGCCACTGCGGCAGGTGATGACGGGGATTAGTGCATCAGCCTGTGAGAAATGTGTGCCGCCGAGTGTTGCAGTCATTACATAACTTCCTTCCGATGAATCCTCGCAGACATTGACAATGATGGACCCGGTCTCTCATGATTTCTGACCCTAAACTAGTTCAAAGCTGAAATACCCTAGTACTTACCTAAACAACCCTTCCAATTGAAAGTCGAAACACTAGATTCACTAGATCCAAAGCCGAAGCCCTAACCCTAAACCCCATGAACCCTCGACCCCAAATCCTTATGAAATTAAAAGTCAAAGTCGAAATCCTAATTTAAACCCGATGCCCGATATAAAAGACAACCCGTGCTCCATCATCGTCCGATCGCCCAGGACACTTCCAGTCCTTGCCCGGCAATTATGGGGTGTAGGGGTTTAGGGATGAAGTTCCGGGTTGCGGGTGTGCTGTCTTGCAAGATTCGAAAGTTTAAGGGTTTTGGGCTTCGGGAGCATTGATGGCTTTGGGCGGTCGATGACCAAGGGATGTGATGTCGCAGCTAATTTTTACTATTATTTAGGGGTTATAATAGTCTCCATTGTAGTTCCTTTGTAACAATTTAACCTTAATATAGTTTAAATCAAACACCAGGAATGCCAATCCAACTCAATATTTACTTAGGATCCCAAAATTTGAAAGCTAACCCCCGAAAGGAACTACAATGGAGACTATATGTATGGTTTAAGGTTTAGGGAATGCGGGGGTCATGGTTTTAGAAGCCTTTAAGAGTCTTAGGGTTTAGGGGTTTAGGGTTCTTTCGGGTTTGCTAGGAAATGGTTTCAGGCTATTCGAGGCTTATGGTTTCAACGAGGACCATTCGGGACCGGTGGGGACTGCTCTAAGGGGATTTAAGGGTACCATTCGGGACCGGTGGGGACTGCTCTAAGGGGAATTAAGGGTACCATTCGGGACCGGTGCCGACTGCTCTAAGGGATATTAAGCGCGGACATTCGGGACCGGTGGCGACTGATCTAAGGAATTTATATTAAAGGATTTTATAAGACCCCAACCTAATGTATATATCGGTCTGGCTGATGTAAGAGGAGGGACTAATGCACCCTAGCCTTAGATCAGTCGCTACCGGTGTCGACTGATCTAAACCTAGGCCATGAAAACGCAAAGCGTGCTTTCTGTGGCTCCCAGGCATCAGGGGGTATGGTTGAAAGCGTGCTTTCTGAAAACCGACAGAGGGTTTAGATCAGTCGCTACCGGTGTCGACTGATGTAAGAGTAGGGTGTAGAACGCCCTAGCCTTAGAGCAGCCCGACGGTTGTATACACTACCCCGCAATGAAAGTAGATCGTTATTTATAATGATGTAATCATCCTGATTCTGGTGCTGTGTGTGAATGCTAGATCTACTCGCCTAGCTGAGCCCCTTTTGCTTCCATGCCTCCGAAAAAAGACAAAGCGGCTGCACAGCCCAAGCGGCGCCAGTCCTCTAAATCCGACATCCAAGTCGTCGATGCCGGGCCTTCCGCTTCTGCACCAAGCGGTGTGATCCCAAGTCTACTTAGAAAGAGCTAGGTACCTAATTTAATAGGGCCCTCTTCCATCCGAGGTGCTTCCTGGAATGCTGACATCATATCCAACTACAAGGATGCTTTGACGAAGCTCAAAGAGTATTGGCCTGGGATTGAGAATGAGGGTCCTTCGAAGATTGGTGATGGAGGGGCCCAGGCTCCTTGTTTGCATCTGCAGTTCTCCAGGGATGTGCTGCGGTCGTTATTATTATTATTATTATTAATTACTATTATTATTATTTACTATTACTAGTATATACTTATTATATTATTATTATATTATTATTATATTATTATTATATATTGGCTAAGGCTCCCTTCGATGGCAAAGCTGCCAAAGCCGCACTTGGCTCTTTCATGGAAGAGTATGCCTGCGCGAACAACTTCTTCAATTGCGACCTTGAATTCAATGTTGATCCCAATGTGCCTGGGCTCATAGTTTTTCTGTTGCAGCTACTTAGACTTATGCTTATCATATCAGGTGCCCATCCGATCCAGTATGGTGGAGGAGATAAAATCCTATCACTATGAGAATGCGGCACTCTTCGCCGAGCCTTTCGAAGTGTCTGTGACATCTACATGGTTGAACAACATGGCGAAGCTTGAACTCGTGAAGCCGATCGTTCCCTTGGAACACCGCATCGCCTTCGTGCTGCGGCTTGGCCAAAACCATGGTCCTTAGATTGAAATGGTGAAGCTCGGGTGTAGGGTGTAAGTGTAAGGGTTAAAGTTTAAAGGGTCACGGTTAAGTTTAGGGTTTAGGAGGTTAGGGTTTAGGCCTTCCTTTGAAAGGAGTTTTTAAGCCTATGGTGGGACTGGGAGTGTTGGGTTGCCGTTTGATGTACGGCAGTCTTGATGCGGACTTCAAAGTTTGGGCCACCATGACACGGTCTTTACATCGGGTTCTCAAGTGGAGTGCCTCTTGCCCTCGTTATCAGCCACCCCAACAAAACCAGCACAAACAACCATAAACCCCAAGGCCTAAAACCTAAACCCTTTCAGCCCTAAACTAAAACCACAACCCTGGGGTTTTCTCTGAGGCACCCTAACGAATGGTTCGAGCACTCCTCAATCAAGCACCCCTGACATCGGAAATCCCAGTGTGCCCCTGACATCGGAAATCCCAATTCTGTTACTTCTTGTTTAGGCCCGAGTGTCTCTATTATAACATTCTGGTTATGTCGGGAACAATCCTCTTTGGAGCTGTGCACTTATAAGCCTCATGAACCCTAAACCTAAACCCTACGGAACCCTTATCTTCATATTATTTAAAATAGGATTCTTGAAAACCGCTAAAATCCTATCCCACCACCGCCATAAACCCTCGGCCCTTAACACCCTATCCCACCACCACCATAAACCCTCGGGCCTTAATGCCCTATCCCACCTTCGCCATAAACCCTCGGCCCTTAATAATGGCAAGCCAGGGCCATCGTTCGCGATCTTGGATCGGAGGACTCGATGGAAGCGTGGCGCCACGCAGTCCTCAACGTTCGGTATGTTTATCGACTGACGAAAGAAGACGAGGTGTTCTGGATGTCCATCAACAGCCGCCAAGAGAAGCTCGAGAAAGCCCAAACAATGGCTCACACGTGCATCCAGAGGGTGTTTAGCATCTTGAAACTTAGTAGCTGACTGAGCACACTTTACATATTTTGGGATGGATACACTTACCCTAAGAATGGAATTCCCCAGCGGTTCATTTTTCATCTAAGGAATCACAAGGCCCGCCACGAGAAGACACACGGAGAAATCAGCCACTGGGACTGAAGGTGTCTTGCATCATGTGTGTGTTCTTGTGCCCTGCTTTTCGACGAGGTGTCGACACTTTCTGTAAACTGTACGAGCAGAAGTTCAAGCATGCGAATGAGAACGAGAAGGCTAGCACTCACACTCAGTTCTGTTTCAAATAACCCATCTGGATCTTCAAGCTTGGATAGGTGAGTGATACCTTCGTGGACACAGCTGTGACTGTGGGAAGAAGAGTGCCTCGTATGCCAAGCTAGACCCAGAAGCCCTCCCTGCCCAACACCATAAAAGCCCCAATCCTCAAACCCGGCGGCCGACAACCCAAAAACAAATAACCTATAATTCGAAACCACCTAGCTCCGGAAGCCCAAAAGCCTAAATTCAAGTTCTAGCCCAAGACATAAACTCTCTAGCCCACGACATAAACTCTAAACCCTTCTTTTGATCTGCCCAGGTGCTCCGCGATCCCCAGTTGACCAACCTGCTGTTGCAAGCAGATGAGCATGTTGGAAGCCCTTTCAATGATTATTCCAAGCTCCAAATTCTTGTGAGCAAGGGGAAGACGCAAGAGGGCATTCGATGGGTCTTCAATGCCATGCTGCTCGTTAGCATAATCATCAGATTTCTGCCGAGTCTCAAGGGCTTGTGTCTATTCCGAGGTGGGATGGATACTTCTATGGCTGGCTGAAGCCCGAACATCTTGCAAGGAGAGCCCTCGAGGGTACTTCCTGGCCGGGTGGCACGGCTGCGATGATGATCGGCATGATGGAGCTGAAGAATCTTCTTCTCACGCAGTGCTGTTCGCCCCTAGGCTGCATGAATCACTGCATATGCTACCACAAACCTATCTACCGACCGGGACTTAGGAAGATGCAATGGGATAATTCTATCAAGCAAAAGATGGTGGAGGTCTTCCAGTCCCATGAGTCCTATCGCAGGCATCGGTTTGGGATAATATTAAAATCCGAGTACATCAACCTAAAGCCCTGGAGCCTGAACCTGGCCTCACAGGCACTGTGGTGGCAACGATGACAAGGTTGATTTGACATGGAAAGCCAGTGGGGACCTCTGCGTATACATCTCAATTTAGAATCGTTTGTCATTAATCGTACTTATTCATATTGCACCTAGGCTGGCCCAAATCCGCGCTGCACTACTTCGACCACGTCGAGGTGTCCTGAGGTTTTAGGGTCTGGGCTTAAACTTAGGGGTTGGAGTTTAAGGCTTGGGGACTTCTGAGAGGATCGAAGCAGGAGCTCAGAGAGGTTTCGGAGTGTATGGGTTTAGGATAGTTTAGGGTTTAGGGGTTTTGGGGTTTGTGGCTAAGCCTATTTCTAGGAATTGAAGCCCTCCAATAAAAAAGAAACGGTAACCCCTCACCCCGAAACCCTAGTCCTCAAGCCCTATAGTCCCTAATCCCAACCTAGACCCTAATCTAAACCGTGAACCCTGAACCCTCAAGTCGTAAGCAAGTTTTACATCCTCCAACAAGAATAAACTCAAAAACTTCTGTCGCTTGCAGAACTGCTGCTTCAACGAGACGTACATTGCTGTGTACAAGCAGTTGCTGAAAAACAGAAAGCAGGCCGGTCCTTTGTGTGGAGCTAGCCCAAACATAGCTGTACCTCTAAGAAAACAGAAGCATGAGGCCCCAGACTGGCCAGATCATGCAGATATCGACCGGCCGGTGCAAGAAGCACTGGAGTTGAAAGCTTAGTAATGTCTTAGCTGTGTGTTTAACTAATTTAAAGTTAAATTCAGAATCTCAATTCCCAGGCTGTATGAAGATGAAGAAAAGCAGCGGAAGAAGGCTGGACTTCACTTCAAAATCGTAATTCGTAAGGACAACTAGCTTAAACCCTAAACCCCGCGCCCGACCCACTTAGCCTTAGTCTTAGTGAGGTTCTGATGACTGATGTTGTTGCTGGCAGGCTGCAGGCGAGCTGCAGGAGATGGAAAAAAACCTCGCCGATGATGATGCTCCAGAAAAGTCCGAAGATGCAGAAGTGGAGAAGCACGCCCACCTTAAGGCCCGCCAGGATACTTTGTAATGTCTTTGGGTGACTGCTACTGTTTGTATGTTGCTCCTTTGCAAGTCCAAGATTTTTTACATGTGTCTGGTAATGTTGGCCCGCTCGAGCCCGCTGACTGAAACTGCTCAGCTAGACAGTAGTGCTCCATGGAAACGATCCCGGCGGGCTGGTGTGTGACCTTCAAGTTTCGAGATGATCATCCTGAATTCCTGACCGTATACGTGGAGAAGCAGCAGCTGAAACCTCGTGATGATCCAGATCATGCTGGCAACCCTCCGGGAAATCCTCCACGAAATCCTCCTAAGCCCAAAGGACGACGACCCCCGGAGCATGATTATCTTGGACCCGACGATATCCCACGACCCGAAACGTCTCCAACTTCCTCGGCGTCTCCAGGAACACCGGATGGCATCGAGCTTCCCACTGCTTCTACCGATAAGCCCCGTCGGAGCAAGAAGAAGGACAAGAAAAACAAGGCGAAGGAAAAGGTTCATCCTGGACAAATGAGAAAACCCGAAGATGATCCGAAGGGCAAGGTCGCGAAGAAGCCGGCGAAGAAGCCGGCGAAGAAGTGATGTCTTGGATGCCTCAGATCGAAGGTCAGTTTTGATGATGTCTGCGAGCTTTGCAAAAGGAGTCTTGGGTTTTAGGGTTCCAGGGTTGGTTTAGGGTTTAACGGTTTAGGGCCTTAGTCGTCTTAGTGATCGGTTGCAGGTGGAAGCGCCGGGCGATGCAAAGAACAAGGCCCCTCCGAAGTTGGATGATGAAGGCTCTCGGAAGCTTCTCATGCTTTTCGGCATGCACTTCTGATATAGAAAGCTGTTGCCGCACCGCCCCCAATTTATAACTTCCCTATTAAAGCCACACGGGTTCCTTAATTCAAACCCCACAAGCCACCCTACAGCTTAGAAACCCTGAAACCATAGAAAGCTCCTTTCAATTTCAAAAGCCAGGCAGCCTCAGGGATCACCCTAAATCCTAAGCCCTAAGCCCGAAACCCTAAACCCGACAACCTAAAACCTACACCCTTAAACCTTAACCGTGTTCTGGTTCAAGGACAAGGCAATGAAGTTGGTGCAATTCAAACCCGACAAGCCACTCTGAAGCCCACAAACCCTGAAACCCTAAAAGCTTCGGATGGTCCTTTCAATTCTAAAAGCCTAAGCAGCAGTCTCAGGTTCAAGGAAAAGGCAATGAAGTTGGTCCGCACCCACGTGCTCCTTGTGAACGAGGATGTGAATGTGAAGGGAATGACAAAAGCCCTTCGTGAAACTAAAGTCCCTGAATGGAAGGGCGAGGTTTCGCAACTGCAAGATCAGATACCCGGCTTCAGATGTTTGGAACGGAACGACTACAATCATCAACTAATTCAATTACACCCCAAATTAAATATTCAATAAAACCTTAAAAACCTAAACCCTAAAACCAAAACCCTAAATCCTAAACCCTAAACCATCAATGGACTGCCATCAACAAAAAACCTGAGGACCATCTTCAACAGGTCCGTCGCCATCTATTTCGAGCCGCTGCTGGAGTTGGGAGTTGATTCGGGTGTCGGGATGGTATGCAAACACAATCCTTAAGTTGTTTATTATTGTAATCCCAGGATTCAAAGCTGAGTGGGGAGGCGGCTACGCAGCCCAGTGTTCGCATGCCTCCCTTGAGAGAAGGGAGATTGCCGAAGCTGATGCAGTCAGCACTGGCTTGCCGAATGACTTCCGAGGGCTGTTTGCCAGCCTCAGATGTGATCCTATTGCTGGATGGAGGAAGAGAAGGCCGCCTGTCTCTTAGAAGTTGAACCGAAGTTAAGTTAAACCTGATTTAACCCTCAAGTTTTAAATACTGTGAACGGACACCGAAACATCATCCATTGGGCCTCATATCCAAGCATTGTCCATCTGGACGGGCATCGAAGCATTGTCATCGAAGCATTGTCCATTCCAACGGACATCGAAGCATTGTCAATTCCAATGGACATGGAAGCTATGTCCATGTGGGCGGACATCGAAGCATTGTCCATTCGGACGGATGAAGCATTGTCCATGCGGGCGGACATCGAAGCATTGTCCATTCGGATGACAATGAAGCACCAGACTCCTCAGAGTCTACAAGCTGACTAAATACTGACTCGCGACCCAATTATCCTCCCAAATGGCCTGTGTCAGGAGTGCAATCCGCAATGTTGGGGTCAATCAAAGGGCCGGACGGTGAAGTCATCAACAAGCAGAAGTCTACGCTGATGCTTCATGTATCGGAGACGAGCCTGAGAAACCGGAGAAAGCGTGACAAGGGCCATCATGTCTACAACGGTGAGCGTGTCTATGTTGTCACCAGTGATGATGGTGCGCTCCCGCAATATCGCGACCGATGCCATTTCAGTGAAAGCACCACACGTGGAGAGATAATCGGGCCTATCCAGGCACCATCATGGGAGGACTGACCTAGCCTGCCTCGTCTAAACCTAGTTATTTAACTATAATGTTTTAAAAGGGTTTAAATTTAGGGTTTAAACCCTAAACCCCAAACCCTAAACCCTAAACCCTAAACCGAATGAATTAGTCATCATTCAACCAGGACGAGAATGAGACTTGGATGGTGAGCTACGGCGAAAAGAAAAAGATCTATGGAACTCAGATGGTCCGTGTGGGCGGGAAGAATGAGCCCGAAGAGGATGCAACCGCAGGCTGCTTGCTCCCTGTTTAATGTCGACCCTCTTAAACCATACAAGCCCAAAGGCCTTACTCCCCTCACCCAGGACGCCGCCAAGATGCTGACAAGGAACCCATGAGCTACCATGCGCTGCCGGAGTGTGCTGTAACTTGTGCACCAAATCTTAACTTAAATATCAAACCCCAACCCTAAATGCCCTAAATTTAAACCCTAAACCCCTTAACTCCTTAAACCCTGGAAAACTTAAACCCCGAACCTTAAACCCTTAAACCTTCAGATCCGAATTATCCCAGAGCCAGAAAATACCCGAAACCTGAAGCCCTAAACACCAGACCCAACCTCTCCTTGCCCGGGTTCGAAGCCGAAGCCACAATGATAATGTCCATAGTTTTTTTAAACCTCGCGAGGCTCTTGCTTTCCAGGCTAGGGTTTATAGGTTTAGAGGCTTCGAGCTTTCGGGGTTTGGAGTTGGAATAAGTAAACTCCAAATGAAATTGAGGTTGAAGAGTTCTTTCATGCCTACAACATCCAGTACATGCTGGACTTGTCGGTCGGTGACGGGAAGACGTGTATGCTGGCCATCAAACGGAGGGCCGAGCTGGTGGGAATCACGTTCAACGAGTTTCACAAAGAACAGTTGTATCGCCGACTTGAAAGTCAAGTTTTCCGGGAGTTTCAGAATGCGGATTCTCCGCTTTATGAGGCCGGGCTGGTTCAGCTCTTGGGAAAGAATAAGCGCAAGGCGGTGCCTTTACTGCAAGAAATTTAGGTTTATTACTTGCAGGGTTTTTTAGGTTTAGTGGATTTCGGTTAAAGGGATTTATAGGCTTGGGGATAATTTAGGCTTTCTTGACTCACTGGATTACATATAAAATCCTCCTGAACCATAAGGATTCAAACTCAGTTATTAGCTGCATCCTAGGTGCCAAAGCCAAAGGCCAAGTCATCCTCGTCGAAGAAACCGAAAAAGGAGGAAGATGAAGACGAGGAGGACTTGGGCACAGCGGAGGAAACAGCATCGCAAGAAGATGACGATGAAGAAGACGAAGACAATGAAGAAGAGGATAATGAAGACATGGCCGAAGAATCGGAAGAAGAAGATGAAGAAGAGGACTTTCTCTAAATCCTAAGCCCTAAACCCTAAACCCCAAACCTTAAACCCTGAACCCTAAACCCTAATTAAACCTAGTATGTTGGAACTCCTGATAGTCCGAGACTCCAACCCGACTCCAGTAAGCATAGGTATCGCTGCTACGCTGCTAAATTAAATACAGACAATGACCCCCATATGTGACTTGCCATTGCAGGCGCCGAAGCTTACGAAAGGCAAAGGCCGAGGAAGAGGCGGCCGTGGACGGGGCGGCCGTGGACGGGGAAGTGCCAAGTCGGAGGCACGTTTACTATTTTCTCTCTGTCCAATATCTGATTCCAAGACTAAATTTTGGGTTCATACGACCCTTTAAATTCAACCCTAAACCCTTAAACCCCTAAACCCTAAACCCTGTAAACTTAGGCGAAGAAAAAAGCAAAAGCCAAGCCGTCGGCCTTGGCGCAGAGCCTCTTGAAGCTGAAGTAGGCAGCCTTCTTTAGCAGTGCAGTGGCCAGGGGCTATCTGAAATTGGGCAATGTTAGTTTCGAGGGCCTTGAAATCCCTCATTTAGTATCAGGTTCTCATATGCACAGTCATAGTCGATGCCTGATAGTCCAATTTTGGGCCACAAGCTTGCTGAATCAGCTCTGGACATCACTAGCCAGAAAGACCGGATCTTGCTGAAAGTCTGATTGCAGATGCTTGGGTATTGCCTGAACTTACCGCTTCATGCAGTGCACGCATTCTGGAAACTCTGAGTGAGTGCGCATGCTCAAACCTCGAGGTATGCAGATGCTAGCTATGTGCATCGCAGAAACCAATCCATACTTGGCCTAGACTGTCTAAGGGTCTCTGGGATTTACTACAAGGTCCAGGTTGTACTAGAGTAAGTATATGGTTATTTATCATAGGCTTAATGGTGTAGTGCTACAGCGGTCATAGGGCTGAGCCCAAATGCATTAAAAGATCCTATGTTCCCATCCAAAACCTAAACCCTGAACTAATTTACAACCCTGTGTCCAAGGTCCTAGATTCAAAACCCCATCCAGTAGCCCAGCTTGCCAGGCTCGAGATGTGTCGTGGTAGTTCATACATACTCAGACTTGCAAACAAATTGACCGAACTCGTAGATCCAGCCTTTGATTTTCGAACCATAGTTATTATGCAATGCCTACATCTGGCTTCAGACTTTGCTGGCCTAGAGCCCCTGAGCGTCAGCTGCAAGTGGCATGCTGAATAGTAGTCGGTCGGTTTGAAAAGGGTTTAGGGGTTTGGGGGTTTAGGGGTTTAGGGTTTTGGGAGTTTAGGGAAACCCGTATAAACCCCCTAAACACCTAAACCCTAAACTCCGCCCGGTGACAATCTGATCTTCGCCTTGGAGCCATCCTCCTCAGCTTTAGGGTTAGGGTTTAGGGTTTAAGGGCCGTTTAAATTTAAATAGGGATTAGGGTTCAGTCAGGGCGTAGCCGATTAAAAGGGCTCAGGGTTTAGGGTTTGAGGGATGAGTGGTGTCTACTGGTTGCAAGTGTACATGCTCTTCATGGTCCATCTCAGGTTGGCAGGACTACGACACAAATTGGTATATGCATCCGAGAGCAACAAGATCTTGCGAGACCGCATTGGATATTTGTATTCTCCTGAGATTATTTCTGATGATGCTGAGCGACCGATCAGCCGCTGGCCCGCAGGCTTTGCAGGGCCATGGCCAGTCATCGTGTGTGCATGTGTGTCTAGAGTGAGTGTGTGTGTGTGTGTGTCGTGCCTGTGTGGATTTGCGGACTACGTGTGTTGCATGTGCCGTCTGTTTCTTGACTCATACCGAGACTTGCAAATGCATATCCACTTATATGGTGCTGGTGTGCCATGCCAACCCTTTGCGCAAAGCGGAAAGGGCAGAGGCCGCTTTGATCCCAGGGGACGCCTCTTCTTGAAGGCAGGACGGAGGTTCAACTGTTTGTGCACTTTGAGTCTACACCGTCGTAACCGTAACTAAGTTTAAATGGGCCCTCTCCAATCCAAGGTTTGTCAAAATATTCGAAATATTCTACCTGATGCCTTCATTTTGGAAACCGTGCCGCGGATCCTTTCAAAGAAACACAGAAGCTTCTTCAAACAAATCTTTGGGAAGTGTCGTGCTCAGCAGGGGGTTTCAAGCTGAAGGTTAAGAGTGACAACACTCTGCAGTTTTTTTGGCAACCCTGGCCAAGGTTGAAACGCAATGGCTTGTACGCTGTCAGATTCAAGGCCAGGATATGGTGGTCGAACAGTTCAACACTTGCTGTGGAAGCCAATCATCGACCAACACTTTCTCAGGTGCTGGATGCCCTGGACTTTCATCTTCCTCAGCGGCGACGTCGCCTATGGTTGGTGGGCTATAAAAAACAATTGGCTTCGAGTGCCTCTCTGAATATGTTGTTAGGAATAGCACTTAAACCCTGAATCCCTAAACAACTTGATGAGACTAAGGGAAATTTCGCTTTCCGAAACCACGTCCTGCAAAGACGCTTCTGTCGTCGGTGCTGTCGAGGTTCTGCTGTGGAGCTATGCATGTGTGATATATCTAAACTCGACTTGAAATTCGGTGCAGTCAGGAGATGTTGCCGGCACAAGCCGGAGTTGCCGACAACGAAAACAGGCAGAGGCAATTTGAAAGCCGCTGTGAAGTATTTGGTGAAGTATGGCCATGATGATGCTGATCCATGGTGTGGAGCTCAATTCCACTGATTCTTCACAAGATTTCATATTCTTGGGATGAACTGTCTCATGTCCTGTAAACCTGACCCAGGGTTATTGACACGGGCACCAGCCGAAAGTTTCGCTTGAAGCCTGTGCTTGACAAGACACTAGTCTCAATAAGTTTCAGTTGTTCTATGTGTTGCTGCTTCTCCATATCCCATGTGAGCAATCGTGAAAAAATATGATGTTGTGACCTAGGCTCCCGACGATTACGCGATCCCGCGGTGCTACTCGGGCCTATTGGATTTCTTCGAAAGCGCGATTTCTTCGACGAAGGCCAGGCCCGAATCAAGAGCGGATTCCATTTTACTTTAAAGAAGAGTATCACGACACTTCACTAAGGAGCTGGCTAGGTGCCAAGGCTGGCCAAGTGGGACCAACTGGGTATATCTTTCTGAAGCTCAGAAAGGAGCAGCCCTGGGAAATGCATGGCCTATTACGGTATCGACATGCATTATCGAGGCCGGGCGGATATAAGACATATTCTAATTCAACTGCCCAGTGCTGACCTAAAGTATTTCAGTCTCCCCCGAGGAGCTTGGGCATATCCTCGGATGGAGTGGTCGGCGACTGCGCGCGGGAGCAATGTGCGAGTGAGAAAAATATCGTGTCTCTAAATACAGGTTGTGTGTGGATGACACTTCCATGTAGCACAACAAGAAACCGACAGGCCGACCGTTAACAGCATGCCAGACTACTGCTACTACTACTACTACTACTACTACTACTACCACTACTACCACTACTACCACTACCTCTACCACTACCACTACCACTACACTTACTACTACGACGAATGGAATTAGGTGCCCGAAACCATAGTGAGGAGGGTCTTGGGGGAGCTACTTCCATGTTGGTTTTTAAAATGGACCCTGTGGGCAAGTTTCGGGGATTAGGGTTTATAGGGGTTCGGGGTTTCGTGGCGCAGAGGGAGTTAGGGGCTTTGGGGTTAAAATTTTGGGGCTTCGACCTTCATGTTTTGGGGCTTATAAGGGGTTTAAGCTACGTGCTTTGAGAAGGCTTGATAAGTGTTTATAGTTGGGGTTTGAGGGGTTCGGTTGTTAGGGGTGTTGGGATTTTCAAGGCTTTAGGCTTGGCCTTAAGCATCTGGAGTTGGATCCTAGGGTTCGCGCGTTCGGGTTTCGCGCTCGCTCGAGCCTTGGGTCTTGATTCAGTGTGGGTGGCTCTAGGAATCTATCAGGGCATGGAACACACGTCTGAGGCTTTGGGGAGTCGCGCGTGAAGTTTGATCTGCTTGGGAGGCTAAAATCAAGACCCGAAGCACCGGATGTTAAAGCCCAGTTCCTAAAGACCGTTCATGACCCTGAACCCTATAAACCCCGAACAAACCCTTAGTGCATGCATTTCTGAAGCCTTAGTAAAGCGTAGTAGTCGGAATCCCTAGACCGAAGTCCTAAGCTCTAAACCCAAGCATTTTCTATGGGGTCGGAATAGTCAGTAGGAGCATCCCTTTACGGTGCTTATCTGACTATGCTATAAGATAACCTCCCCAAAATCCTGCTACACTTAGATTTAGAAAGGCTTTTCATTACTTATCGCAAAGTGCAAGGGTTTTTTCACCAGTCGGAAACCCTAAACCCTACCTGAACCCCAAAAGTACGTCGAAGAATAGCCTTTCAGAGGTTTTGGGCCATCATTTTACCTACTTTTGTTGGGGGGTTTAGGTAAACCCTATAAAACCCCCTTCTGCCCTAAACACTACATGAAGGGCTACCGTGGGGCCTAAACCCTAAACCCTAACAGAGCATGCTAAGGTTGCGGATCGTCCAGGCGAGCTCCCAGCGAGGCGGCCCTTTCAGTTTTTGTGTTTAGGGTTGAGGGTTTAGGATTTAGGGTTGAGGGTTTAGGGTTCAGGGTTTAGGGTTTAGGGCCCGAAGCAGGCACATTGAACATAAAGACCTATCTTTCGGATCTAAAGACTTAACGAGTTCCTGTTCAAAAAAGAGATATGACAGCAAGGCTTTTCAAGAAGGTCCTTACTTGCGCGGTCGTTGTGCTTGGATACTTGTTCGCCCTCGCATTGCGGCTGAGGTAAGGGTTTTTAGACGTGATTTGAGGGGCATGAGGTCAATTTAATTTGTTTTAAGCCCCTAAACCCTAAATAAACCCGAAAAAATACATAAGCCTTAAAACCCTCAATAAGCCTTAAACCGTAAATAAACCCTAAACCCTCAATAAACCCTAAACCCTAAAACGCTTCAAGACTCAAGAGAGCACTTATTGGAGCTTCAGGCTTCGGAGCTTAGGATTGAGCTTTCAGCATTCGGGGTTTCAGGTTCCATG